TTAATTTTGGAAAACCTATTTTCATTAGAATACTTAATTTTGCATGCTAAAACTTCTCATTCATCATAATAATAATTATGGAAAAACTAATTTTCGGATTTATAAATTTTAAAAATTAGGAAAATACTATTTTGTGAGAAAAGCCTAATTTATACCTTTAGAAACCTTCTTAGGACCCTTAGGAACGAAGTTTATAAAAGCATTTCCAAAAATTCCAAGTTTAGAAAAAACCCTAATTTTCTAACTCCACATTTTTTAAGAAAAAGCCTCAATCCCAAACATAAAATTATCTCTTAATCATTCCCTAACAACCCCTCATTAAAATTCTTAAAGAAAATCAAAGTTTTCTCAAACCCTAGAAATCTTTTCTTGAGAAAACTTAAAGAAAAACATGAGTAATGGCTCCTAAAAACTCACCTTAGCATTCTCTTAATCTTCCCTACAATTTCCATCCAAGAACGGCCGCCAGAGCCTCCTCCCGTCGTCTCCCGTACATCCGACCCTTCTCCCTTTCGGTCCTCCTCTTTCTCTCATTTCGGCCAAACGAAAGCAATGGGGGACCGAATGAATTCGGTCCCCTTTCATTCGGTCCCCTTTAGATGGTCAAAGGACAAAAATGACCTCACTTAAACCCTCCATGCCTTAATAATGCTTAGGGGTACTTTGGGTATTATTAGACTACTCTAATTTTTATTTCCTAAATTAAGCAAAATTAAATTTAAGTTTTATATATCAAATTTCTTAGAATTTTGCAGAGAATTTTATAAAATTAATTTTGTTAAAATCCGACAACTTTGAAAAATTCACTTAAATCTCGCCGTGACGCATCGAAAAGCGTGCGAGGTCTAAAACGGCATTTTAACTCTCAAAATTAACGGCATAGAACCTGTATCGAATTTTGAGTATTTTGGGAGTTAAAATGCCGTTTTAGATCTCGCACGCTTTACAATGCGTCGCGACGAGATTTAAGTGAATTTTTCAAAGTTGTCGAATTTCAAAGAAATTAATTTTATAAAATTCTAAGAAATTTGATATATATAAAACTTATATTTAATTTTGCTTAATTTAAGAAATAAAAATTAGAGAAGTCTAATAATACCCAAGTACCCCTAAGCATTATTAAGGCTTGGAGGATTTAAGTGATGGCATTTTTGTCCTTTCGCCATCTAAAGGGATTAAAGGGGACCGAATTCATTCGGTCCCCCATTGCTTTCGTTCGGCCGAAACCGAGAGAAAGAGGCGGACCGAAAGGGAGGAGCGGATGCATCGGAGGCGACGGGAGGAGGCTCCGGCAGCCGATCTTGGAAGGAAATTGTAGGGAAGATTAAGAGAATGCTAAGATGAGTTCTTAGGAGCCATTTCTCATGTTTTTCCTTAGGGTTTTCTCAAGAAAAGATTTCTAGGGTTTGAGAAAACTTTGATTTTCTTTAAGAATTTCAATGGGGGATTGTTAGAGAATGATTAGGAGATAATTTTATGCATGGGAATTAGGCTTTTTCTTCAAAAATGTGGAGTTAGAAAATTAGGGTTTCCCTAAAGTTGAAATTTTTTGAAATGTTTTTATAAACTTGGTTCCTAAGCATCCTAAGAAAGTTTCTAAAGGTATAAATTAGGCTTTTCTCACAAAATAATATTTTCCTAATTTTTAAAATTTATAAATCCGAAAATTAGTTTTTCCATAATTATTATTATGATGAATAAGAAGTTTTAGCATGCAAAATTAAGTATTTTAATGAAAATAGGTTTTTCAAAATTAGGGTTTTAAGTTAAATCCGAATATAGAAGTTATTTGAAATTAATTTAGGTTTATGGAAAAAGGTTATTTTGGTTAAAATATATAATTATACAAAATAAGGAATTTTTAGAATATATGTATGCTTTAAGTTTGAATTGAGAGAGAGAGAGAGAGAGTGAGGGAAAGAAATAACCTAGAATAGTTTAGAAAGAGAAGATTTTGTTTTAAATTATTTTGTAGATTTTAAATTGAAAAATAAATTCTTATAGGTAATAATCGTGGTGGCCTCGAAGGAAGGAGGATTAGCAAGAGAAATCGAATTCCTACTTTCGATAAGTATATATGATTCTTTGTTTCAGTAATACTTTTGTTTTCTCCTCGATTTTACATTTTAAAAGTCCAAGAATGCTTATGAAAATTTAATGGTCATTTTAGATCATGATTATGTTATTTCATCATATGATTGATCAAACAACTTTCATGATATATATCATGGCATTATATTATAAGTTTATATGTCATATGAAATAAGATGAAATGAGATGATATGATTATGATATGAATGTTATATTGAATGCTTGTATGTGCATGCTGAAATAACGGAGCTCACCCCCTAATAGTGCTAGATGTGAACGCTGAACTCATGCACGTTAAAATTGTAAAGGATATGGAAAAGGAAAATGGTAAATAAGTACCTTTATGGTACTTGACGGTGGCTTCTGTGACGGTTGTAATATATACGAAAAGAGAAAGTTATGAATAATGATATGTATATGAAAATGAATTATGAAATGATATAATTTTATGATTAATGTTTATTTTTAATGTTATGTTTATATTAAACAAATTATGTTATATTCAAATGAAATTAGCATTTAGCATATTGTTCATTTTGCCTTAATTACTGTAGTTTAGAATTATTTTTTACTTATTGAGCTTTAGCTTAATGTTAGTTGTTAACATTTTTCAGGTGTAGTTATTTTAAATCAAAATGAGTAGAAGGGGTGGCAATGTATACTATAGAAGAGTTGCGCCTGAGAAAAGGTAATTTTATGGTTATGCCTGATTTTATGTTTATGTATTTTCAATTTGATGTTTTAGAGATTATTTCAAATGTTAAGGTGATAGTTTTAGGATTTATATATTTGATCTACCGTCCGACCATCTGTTCCCGCCTCGCCTACAAGAGCTCACCGGGTCGGGTCGTGACAATGACAGCTGTCAGGGTGATCTTAATAGCCTTTCTCATGGCATAAATTATTTTGTGTTCCACTGCAACATCTATCAATGACAACTATAGGAATATGCCAGTTTGCAAACTCGATTCTCCGAATATTTTTTATGTTTTATAACTAATAAGATTAATACATTAATATTGATGATTACCCAACAACTTTCCTCTTAATAAGATCAATGCACTGAAATACACAAGCACTCCTAAGGATTAATTATTTTTTTATGGTTAATAAAGAGCTAAATTGATAGCAAACATGCCTCAAGCAAACATGCCTCAAGCTTGGTAAAAAAACTATTAATCATTCACGATACAATAATCTCATAATGAGATAGCACCGTAAAAAAATGACATAAAGGTTGTTAGATTATCTCACATACCTATATTATTTGTCCAAATGAATACATAATAAGGTCTTCCAAATTATTCCTTATTTTTACCAAATGGTTTCAAAACACTCCTAAGTGACTCAAATCTATATAAAAATAAAAAAAAAAAAAATTACATAAAGATTAGATTGTAAGTTCCATAACAACTAGTAGACAAGGGTAAGATATTTACAATTATGCAATAACAAATAAAATAGATAAATCTGAATGGCAAAATAACCCTCTACTGTAATTAGAATAATGTACTACATGTCCATAAGATACTCTCATCGGTGCACCATTAATCATATTGATACCCTACAAAAATATACTAAAGTACTAAATAAAAATCTGTTTAAATAATACAATAGAGCTATAGATTTGGTTTCATGCCAATAATTGACAAATATGAGCACCAATGTTTATGCAAGTGCATCAATGCAGATGATGAGATATGAAAAAAAGTGTTGATGCACCGTAGCAAATGACCCTACTTCAATCTAGGAGTTTCAGTGCATCTTGAGATGACTTAAGGACACCATCATCTCAAAAACAAGTCATCAAAGCGCTTTTTCAAGAATCAAATTATTATAATACCTCTAAGTTTCCTAGCTCAAATATATTCAATGTCCACTTAGTTGACCAAGAAAAATAGGTCAAGGAACCTAATACAATCACGCTATCTCCTAGTCAATATAAGGACCCTGGTGTGTCATCACGTCCATACACAGGTTAAAACATGTGATACATCGAAAACCAAATCAAGTAAACTTAATCATATAGGTCACCTTGCTTATAGGACAAGGTTGTAAAAACTAACATATAGAGTGTATTGCTTATAGGGCAATGACATAAGAACCACTGTTGTGCCAATTTCAATATTGAAGGAATTTCTCAATTTTAACCATTCAAAATTAACAATAGAAGTTATATCCTCATTCCTCTTTATAATAGATCCGAGATACATAAACAAATCAGACCTAGGTATAACCTTAGCTTCTAATGATATTGGAAGAAAATATTAACATTATACCTTCTAAAGTTACATATCATGCACTAAATCATTATTCTAATAATTATAAGATCTTTATATTCTAAACATTTTCTCCAATATTCTACTACTTCATCCAACATGTAATTAATTTCTATTTCTAAGAGTAAAGTTATTCTTATTTTCCATGTAGTTTTAGAACGTTCAATCATGGCCTCAATCACATAAAGGTCAACTTGAGTTAGTTGGCATTTGGTTGCGTGATATTGGCCAATAAATGTCAATATATCATTGATGAAAGGTATCACTATTTCAATGTATCAACTGTATATCAACTCTTCATGACCCATGTAAAGACCAAGTACCTGAAAATTATTACAAGATTCAAGCAATTGGAATGGCAAATAAGGACTGCAAATTTACACTTTAAACCCTTTCAAAAAATCTTGCACGAAATGATGGCCTCCAAGCAATTCAGTGAGGTCACTTGCCAATCTGAACTTCAGGCTTATGTAAGACTTACAATTTGGATTTCAATAATTATTTCATAAATTTTATATAGGCCAAGTTGCAATAAAGGATGCCAAGAGTATGTAACTACAAGTTAAAACTGTATTCGTTGATGAAGAATGGCTATTCTTTAAAATCCTTAACAAAGGGCAAAAATAGTACCTTCCCATCGTAATAGCCCCGCAATAAATAATTTACCAAACCGAAATCAGCAGCTGATATATACACGAATCTTTTGACACCTACAAGTAAAAGAAAATGGACTTAGCCATAGGCAGAGCGTCCTCTTAACATGATGACAGATGGTAACTTACATTATTCACACTTTCCAGAACAGCAGCCCTTTTACATAACAACCAAACAAAAAGTTGGAAAATCAAAACCTACTGATTCTATTCAGTTAATAGTGGCAGATAAATAATTAAATACCTTGCTCTGCGGCAGTTCTGATAGCATTAATGTTTGCAGTCCCATTAATCTTGTACATATGAGAATATGATCCAAAACCACCAACACAAGATACCTGCACCATGAAGTATATAATACGATAAAGTGTGTAACAATCAAATTTTATGAGTTCCTTCAGAAGGTACTGATCGACACCATTGCAGAGTTAAGCTAATGCATTTCACAGTTTTTATTTATTTTATTTTATTTTATTTTATTTCTTTCAAATCATAGATAACATGAGATTGGAGATGGCAGGTTTGAGGACATTAGCAAAGTCATAAAATCCAGGCGCAACTTCCGTTGGAAAACAGGAGAAACAAAATGATAAAATCATAATTCTCCGTATTCCAAGAGTTCTATTACAACATGATATATAATGTGAAAGGAGAATATAAGTATTTACTTTTCTGTATTGGCAATAGATTTCTTATGATGGGCTCATTTTGTATTCATAATCAACTATTTAAAGAATAGTTTAAACCACGTTTAGGGGACTATTTGATCAGTTAATTTAAAACCCCAAAATAAGTTGATGTCATCAACAAAACCAGCACCACACCCAAGCTTAGGCAATGCAGCCATCATCGGGCATAATTACTATATGAAATGAAAATATGAAATAAAACATGAAATTATTTTTTGTGTTTGTGTTTGGGATGCGGACATCCAACCGTGAAAGCTTATCAAAGAAGGAGACGAAGATCGACGGCCCTAATCGCACTATTCTATTTTAAGTATTATTTGTATTTTTATTTATTTATGTATTTTTCCCTTTTTTACCCTCACTTGAGGGAGTAGTCCTATGTAAGCTCTAGGGTCATGTTTGTCTTTTGAGTTTCTTTTGTTTTGAGGCCAATATATAGAGGCCCATGGTATTGTATTAGGAGGATGGATGAATATTAAGAGGAAATTTTCTACACTTTGTTCTTGGGAGCTATGGGAGTTCTTAGGAAAGTGGAAGCCCCTATATGAGGGCAACAAAATACCCAACAGCCGCAGGAAGTGTCCGGGCTCATGGTTTGAAGTCCCTAGATGAGGGCAACGTAGCACTCATTAGCCGCAGGAAACGTCCAGGCTCAAGGTTTATCTTTCTTTCTCTAAACCCCCCTTCTCCTTCTCCATTGATCATCGGCCAAGCACCCCTCTTCCCCTCCTCTAACCATCGGCCACTTCTCTTACTCTTACCAACCGCCGGCCGCCAACCTCTCCACCTCAATCCCAAGTTTTGGCCCCTCCTTAGCCGTCGGCCTCCCTAGCCCAAACCTTAGACGCCGGCAAGCCCCCCTCCAAACCCTTGTTTCAAATTCAATTGGCCTTATAAACACCTTCCTAAAATATCTTATTATTAATTTGGGAAGTCTATGAATTTGAATTCAAATGATATTTGAAATTCAAAAACTTTCCTAATTAGTAAATCTCTTTTAGGAAACCCCCCAAATCTCTCCTAATCTGAAATTAATTAGAATTAATTCCAATTTCCATGTTCATTGAACCTAGACTCATTCATTGAATGTGAACAACTCCTCCCCCTCCCTCTCTCTCCAATTAAAATATCCCCCCCTCCCTCTTTCCCTCTACTTTTAAAATTTCAATTACTTTCCTAAAATAAGGTTGTAATTGTTTGGTAAGTTTTAATTTAGATTTCAATCTATTTAAATCTGAAAAGAACCTTCCATAAATGAAAGAGTTAAATCAGAGAACGTCCATTCAATCAATTCAACTTAATTTGAATTTAAATTTTGAAAGGCCCTTAATTCCTTTCCCAATTTAAGATTCCCATTGAAGAAGGCAATCAATGCACCCCAATCTCCCCCCCCCCCCACACACCCCCCCCCCCCCCCCCCTACATCAATTTGCTTATAAGTGGTGGTACTTTAAACAGAGCCTATTTTCATAATTACTCCACTTTGGTGCAAAATACAAATAGGCAATTTGGCCACGTTAAGATTCATGTCATATATCTTTTTGCCAGTTCAATAAACGTGCTTGAAATGCTAAAGATTCACAACCCATCAAGCAGCTCCTGAAGCCCATGTAAGCACTTTGATTCCAGCAGCAATCATGCATCGAGCTGCGTGGGTGGGCATCCAGCAGCGCTTTCCTCAATGCCATGCAGGGGTTATGCGGATTGATAAATGAGTTCCGATGAGAAAATCAGGCATGAGCCAATCTTTTCTCACAACAGCTAAAACTAACACAGGTGCCTTATATCAAGGCTTCATCAGAAAAAACTGTGCTTCAAGCTTACAATTTGCATTTCTAGTCAGCAGAAAGTTCACCCATTATTTTACAACCCAAAACACAAGTTCCAACATAGTATTTTTCTCATCTTATTTATATTATATGGAGATGTGTTGTGTAGTACATATAAGCATTTTTGAAAGACCTATAATGAATTGAATTAAGAATAAATGACCAGCTGCATCTACCTACCACAGCGCTGACATCATTCATGGCATGTTTTAGTGAATCTTGAACAAGAAGGCTTCCTACAAAATAAGAAAATAAAATTTCAATTTTATATAAATATGCATGAAAAGCAATAACAATGCTATTTGCACTAACAAGACAACCTTGGTGCCAGACAACACTATCAGCCCAAGATTCCTGAATGGATGACCGTCCAGATCTAAGAAAAGAGTTAGAAAAGAAACAATATTAATATTCATTAACTTCTCTTGTTTAACGAAATGTTACAAAACAGTCCTATATGTTGAACAATTGCGGTAGAGATCATTGAAAGAATCATTACAGATAAAAAAGGAGTACGTTACTTGTGAGCATTATAAAAAGATGAGCTGTTTATAAAGACCTGAATTAGAGAGCCTTAACCTCATAGGACTGTATAAAGGATACTAATTACAAGGCTGAATTTGAAAGTTTGTCCTGCTTGGCGCCATGGCACAATGTATAAGGTAAGGCACGTTTGAAATTTCAAGTTAAATTAGTACAGGTGCAATCCTATTTTAGATGTCTTTCATAACTATTAAATGCCACCATTTTCATTTTAAGAACATCTCTAGATACTCTATCAGGCCCTCAAAAGGTTGTTAAATGTTTTACAACATATAAAGTTTCAGCAGAAAACTGAAGCCCCATTCCCAGAGGTTTATAACTAATATGGAAGGAATCAGTTAGCAGATACGCAACTAGTTTTTGAAACTCTTAAAATTTTCTTTCACCAAACTATCTTGCCTCTTCAAATTGACAAGTCCTTTGATGTAATTGACTTAAGAACCCATCCATTTCCACTTTTCTACATAATTAAATACTCTGACACTCTCACACCCATGTCTTTCTGATAGAAAATACTTGAGTTTGCAAGTAACCCTAAGGGAAATACTTGAGTTCGCAAGCAAACCTAGCAGTCATTGGTGAAAAACAGCAAGAAAACTGCTGAATACAGCAGAAAACAGAAACGGTAAAGCAACCTTCTTTAGAAATATGGAGACAACTGTGAGAAAATCGAAGAATTCCACTAGCCGATACTGGAAAACAGCAAATGATACAAGTTTCTTCAATTCGAGAGGAAGAAACAATACTCCAAATCTCTAGCCAAGCCTAGAGCCTAAAGGGACTAATTCGAGATCTCAAATTTGATTTCAAACTCAAGATGAAAACCCTAATTCTCCCAAAGGAACTAATTAAAACAAAGAGGACAAATACAAAATCCCTAAAAAGCCTCTAATTCAAATTTTCCCTCCCAAAGCAAGTTTAATTAAGTCGTGGGCCCCATCTATCCAACCGGCCCCTCTCTCTCTTCCCCTTGGTTCCACCCCCTCCTCTTTTAGCAAAGTACCGATCCAGATTGGACCGGCTCAGCTGGCCTTAGGACCGGACTAACACTTTCCACAGATGAAACAAATGCTTTGGCTGTGAAAATGCAACTTTGCAGAATGACACCACATGACACCATTAACTTTAGCTTGTGTATCATATGATAAAATTTAAATAGACTGTTTTCCAAATCATTCAACCAGTTTACCCTAAGTTTCCAATGCTATATCACAAACCAAACAAACCACAGGGCACACGAATAGAGAATAAGAATTGTGTGTTGCTTTCATTCTTTCTTCTTGGCCAAAAAGTAGAGGCATTTTGAAAAAATGCCAAACTCCTACCATACTAAATAGGAATAGTCAGGAGATTGATGGATACCAATAACGTGTTGAATTCGATAGAGGCATCAAAAGCATAGAAATGTTGCATTTCTGCAGATGAATGAAAGGTACACATGACAATTCTAATGAAGTCTAAATACCTGCTAAAACTTGAAACAGATAAACCTTGCTGCAGAGCCGCTTTGCAAACATGAGAGCCAACAAATCCATTTCCACCCAAAACAAGAACCTGCGTCAAAGCCCCAACATGCAAACCATCAAGACCCCAACCCACCAATTCCCCAAGTTGAGAACAGTCAGACATGATAGAACAAAGCCAGGATAACATTCCCATTTGAAATGGTAATCGCGGTGCATCTAAGAGAAGTGCTAATACCTTCTCCGGTCCAGGTGCCTCAGGTTTTACTGTTTCTGCTTCCTCAACTTTAAACGTTTCTTCAACTTTATTTGAGCCTGTGGATAGCAGCCTCCCATTTCTCAATAGACCTTCTGAACTGTTATATACATACAGCAGGTTGGCAGAAATTAGGGTCACATTAAATTCTTTCTGCTCCAAAAGATTCTAAAATGCAAAAAAATTCTGTGTAGCTGAACCAAGAGAATAAGCACAACAACACAAGACAAACAAATACGAAAATGAACAAGAAAAAAATTTAGATTTGGACAACCTAACGCAAATTTGGTTCGGATGAATTTTATAGCCTTTGGATTAGTTTTGAGATGAGTTTAATGGGTGTAAATGAGTCGAGCCGGCTCAAGCTCGACTCGTTAACGAGCTCGCGAGTCGAGCTTATCGAGCCACGACTCATTTACGCCCCTAAGTGTATACAAATTTTGATTGATCAGTATGTATTTCATTCATTTTAAAGCTAATCTAAATACTACAACACCCATCCCCACAAAAAATTACATGTGGATACCTAACCCATTTTTTTCCCAAATGAACGATCAGGTAGACTACCTACAGAAGCAAAAAACATAATCCACGAGGGAAAACAGGTTTTCAAAGAAAAAAAACTAGGAGTGCTACAAATGGTATTTCTATTGGTTCCATGATTATTTAGATAAAATTTTATTAAAAGTCATATAAGCAATCTAAATTTAGCCTCAAAGTAATATTAAAAACTAAACATGCAATCTAACCTTTGTATAGAAGTAATGTTCATCAACAAAACTGACTTCTCCAAAGCAACTTTATTGATCAATTAGAGAGTGCTAAGACTAAAAATAATTAATTAAAAAAGAAGTGATTAGGAATAGCTTTATAGAAAGAAAACAACTAGCTTAATAAATAATTTAAGAATTAAATCAAATGATACGACGAGCAAAAATAAATGGCCGAAATTCCACATTGAATGACTAATATCAGTCTAAGCAGGTTAAGTAGCTCATTCGCTGCAACATTCCCCATTAGGCATTCTACAATCCAAGCAATGGAGCTCCATCAGATGCCTACGATATATGTGACCTAAAGTAGAAAAATAGGAGCAAACAAAAAACCAATACGGTACATCTTCACATCAAAAAGATCTATCTTTTAGAATGAAAATTAAAAAATAATAGAAAAAATCAGCATAAATTCTTTAGGAACTGAAAGATGTAGAAATAAACAAAAAACCTGGTCCAGAGAAAAGTTACCTTAATCTAGATGGCAGCGAATGCGATTGGATCAAGCGCGCAACTATCGTCCTCATTCTGAAAGGCCCTGTCCTCCCCGATTAAAATAATATGTGTACAATTTCTAGTTTCTGAGAGCTCGGATAGGTGAAAACTGGAAGCGGGGAAGCTAAAGGGAAGACGGAATGGAGTGGTGAGATAGCAGCCTCCTTTTCAGCTAATGTAGAAACCTTCCTTGTTAGAGGTGGTCGGAATCCTCCGGGCTTCGTTTGCAAGTATGAGCGAGAGAAACGAAGCGACGGTAAACAAAGCATGTAGAGATTTTCCTCTGCGTGTGGTTCCAAGCCCGGAAACGCTGCTTGCTCGAGGATGCACCACGCCACCGCCTCGAGGGTAGTAAAGGTTTTGGAAAGCCATCCGTGTCATCAAGTTTCTCTAATCATCCTTACAACAAGAAGTGGGAATTAACGAAAATACCACAATTTTTTTATAAAATTGTTCTTACACTTCAATTTTTCTATTTATTTAGATATTATTTAAATTAATATTAAATCAAAATTTATTAAAATGTATTTTATTTAAATTAATATTAATGATTTTTTTATAAAACAACGTCAATTTTTTGTCATGCTACATGGGATAGACTACATGAATTTTTTTTCTTCATTTTGTTGATTAAGAGTCAAAATATTATTTATATCTAATTAAAAAATATCATTTCTAATATTTTCTAGTCAAGACTTTTTAGGTCTACCTCTATGGCTCTATCTTTTTTAATATAAACTAAATCTTATTATTTTTTATGTAATTTAAAAATTTTAATGATATATGAATAAATATAAAAATTTAGACTAATATAGTGGAATGCATGGTGCAAATATTCATAATTAGTGTTGCTTACCTCGAAAGATAAACTAACACTGTATTATCGACTTAAGAAAAGAAATAATTTATTGCAGTCAAATTAAATGATATGACCACTGATTTGGGATTTAGTGTTTCTTTAGACAAATATGCATAATTTGCGATATTTACCTCGAAAGATAAACTAACACTGCATTATCAACTTGAGAAAACAATTTATTTTCGTATTAAAATTTGGCATAGGGGATTTAAAATTCATTCCAAAGGAAAGTATTCACATACAACTATCATTTCAAATATGAAACTAACTTTAGATTAGCTTTAGTCAACATCAAGAAGATGTTTCCCCAATCTTAGCAAATTAAGACAGGGTTTATTTTATCCTAAGATCTTGGATTCCTATAAAGGCAAGCTCCTACAGTCAATTACATCTTTGAAGAGAAAACTTTTGATTAAGGTGAAGACTACACTCATTCTAGATTTAAAACATATGATGGTTGACTTACATATTTTAAAAATATCAATCAATCGTTCAAAAATATCATTAATTTAAAAAAAAATATATCCTTGATTTTTTATACTTTTTTTTCTAAAAAGGATTTTGAGGTGTGCAAATATCTCTAGGCTTATGCTTACTTGGAATGCATTGCCAATTAATAACCTAATACATAAGCAATCATCCTAGATATAGTGTATGATAAGATCAACAATATCCTAAGAGATCAAATAATGAATCAGATCACTCTTAAATAGTAAATTGAGTGAATAATTTTGACTTTATATTCAAATGACACAAACAAGATGACTCGCTAAGAACTCTATTGTTTAAATAGTTTACCTAACTAAATTTTAACTCCTAATTTTTTTTTAGAAATTTTGGCAGCATAATGGCTCTAACCATAGGAAAACTATGACATCCCCTAGGCCCCCCATACCTTGGAATTTGGCTTGTGTATTGGGCTAGTATATTTTGCATAAAATAAAAATAAATGTATATATGTATGTCAGGGTAAAGGTGTTTTTGTATATGGTACCCAGTACCATATCGTCCTAAATCTAGTATACATGTTCCGACAAAGTCTAGAACATGTACACCGAGAAAAGCCTAGACAAATTACTACCCACTAATGTAAACAACCACCCATATAAATGCAATGCATTGAGCAATGTAATAAAAATAAAAGACTATATATAAAAAAATTATTTATTGATTGATTTGAAAATGTACAATAGGCTCAGACTGCATACAAAAAAGGTTGTCAGACTCCACCATAATTTAAACATACCATATATATATATAAACTATATTTATTATTTTTATTTATTAATATTGAAATTGGTTATTTATTGAATTATTTAAATAGCCTAATTATGTGCAAAAAACTTAGGTAGTTTTGATATCAAACTAACTCCAAAAATTATGAAATTAATTAGATTGGTCAAGGATAACTAATGGATGAATCCTTGAAATTTTGGGATTAATTTGATTTGTATTTTATTTTTAATGAGTTTATTTAATTAAATTTTAATTAAGGAGTAATTAATTATTAATTAAATTTCATTGAAAATTAATTAGATATTTTATTTTATTTGATTTTGGAGGTTAATTATAATTGATTAAAATTGATTTTATATTTTTTATGAATTTTATTTGAATTATTGTTATTTTTTTAAGAATCAGCCTTTATTTTAAGGGTTGATTTTCATTTAATTTTGTTTAATGGTCAATTAATATTGAATAAGGGTTAAATTTATTCCTATGGTGTATAATGTGTTTAAGTTTACTAGTTTAAAGTTTTATTAATGTTGGATGTATGTATGAATTTCTAGAATCTTTCTAAGTTAACTAGACTTTGTCCTTAATTATTATCCTTAAGTGTCACCAAAGTTCAAATAGGTTTGCAAATTCATATATCTAACCCTTGTATGCGCACAATCAAAGCACAACAATTTAATTTTCAGATGCTCTATGAATTGAATGTAGTGAATTATCAAAGTTATAGGTCACATACATAAAGGATATACATCAAACTAGGGTAAGAAGTTTAGAAAATGTAGAGGACATCCTGAAAGACTTCCCCTCCTAATTTGAACTTAATATTATGCATATTTTAGGGGTAATATAGGAAAATCAATAGGCATTGAAGAGCCATTAATTACCCTTAATACATGCATGAACATATCCTGGATTTATTTTTAAATCAAAGTGCCCATCATATTGATTCCATAGAGCCCTAACATGCAAAAATTGGGCAAGAAATAAAATTACTATGAATTTTAAAAAATCTTGCTCAAAATATGACATAGATTTTTGGAAATTCAAATGTAAGCTATGATGGCATCAAATGACTCTAGGAATATTATTGGGTTTCAAGAATATATCCCAATTCATCCCATTCAAATTTGGGCATGAATTAACAAATATTTAGAGAGCTATAAGGTAAGTTTATAAATCAATATAAGCCGTATTACTCTCTTAATTTTCATCATTTTGATCCAAATTTATTTTTAAAATATAGTGCTTGAAAATACAAATCCATAGAAGTATTATATACTTAATTTGGTTAACTACACAACTTACTAGAATTTTTAAAAGTTTTACGATGAAAATACATTTTATTTTTCATTTAAAATTACGAATTAATAACGCAGTTAGGCTAAATAGAACAGTTAAACGGGATTCAAAGATGGCGATATCTTGACTATCTGAATCAAATAGATTGAACGAACGGTGGAGATTTTGCCTTCCTCACGAGAAGGCTGAAAACCATAGAGTTAGCTTTTACTTTTAATTGTCAATATGAGGCGTCAAACGATATAAAACTTTAGACAGAGGTAGGGTATGATGAAAGAAAGAATGAGGGAATATTCTGAGGGTCATTATTGCATCCTTCTCAATCATATTTAGAAACCTAGATAAGAACATAGGGTTTGCATGTTACCTTCATGCATACGATATTAAGAGTTGGTTAACGGTTTGTTTTCTTCATTGAGAGCTCCTTCACAGTTTTGATGAAGATAGAAAGGTCAGACGAAGGCTAGATGAAGAGTTGAAGGAGTTTGGATGGACAAGCTTACGATACTCCATCTATCTCGTCACTGGCAATCTCTAAATGCCAAAAAAACACTAGGAGCTAAGATGTGTAGGGACTTCTTGGAGAGCAAAATAAAATGAGAGCAAGGTGTTGATCTCATCTTTGTATGAGATTAACTAAATCCAAATCGACCCAAATCCAAAATTAACTCAATCCAAACTCAAATCAAATCAAAGCAAATTCAAAATTAGACCAAAAATCTAAACCACTCGAGTGCACTACACTCCATGCTTCGAGTGAACTCAATTCAATATGAATTAATTCACGGTGAGTTGACTAGTCACCTAAATTACTCAAATCATACACTTGCATTCAAATTTTCATAAACATAAAAAAATTATTGTTTCAAACTCCTCGAATTTCATTCCACCATAATTTAAAACCCTCCTCTAAGTCCACCTCAGCTGGCTTTGACCATTTGACTGGTCAAATAGTCAACAAAATTAAAAAATTCTCTTAATTGGTCAGCTTAAGTCAACTTGAGCTAAAACTCTGAAAAAATTCATCCACATCACCTGTTGTCTGCCTAAACCTGCTTTTGGGGGCTTCACAAGGAACCCCAAATAAGGGTTCAAATCTTTGTCATAACTATAGAGCATGCAAATGGTCCCCCCATGGAAAATGGCCAATGGCCTCTTCACCTTTCCAACCACTCTTCTGCCTAAACGTATAACTACTTTCCAATTAGCAAGCATTTGGAGTGCAAGCTCAATCAATCCTAGCCATCCCTTGAAAGTTTGGAGCTTGCAATAGGGAAAATAGTGAAAAACTTAAAAAATAAAATAAAAAATCATTCATTCTGATTTAAAACTCTCTCTCTCTCTCTCTCTCTCTCTCTCTCTTTCTCTCTCTCTCTCTCTC